CTTGGATATCATGGGGCCGGCCACCTCTTCCTGCAACAATGCGAGCGTACAAGCAGTGTCGAGGTCTTTTGGGCGTTGCATCAAGACAACAGAACAGATTTCAGGCTTAAGACCGTCGATGAACCGCATAGTGTAGTATAGTGGATCGGTGGAGGTGGAGTAAGAAGACATCTGATCAATGAGCTCAGTGAATTGGGTGACATAGGCCGACACAGTGGAAGTCTGTTTAACCAAAAAGAGTTGGTGGATGAGGATTTCATGTTGATCACGATCAAATCGGTCATGAAGGAGTTTGCAAAATTCAGTCTAGGTACAATGGGGAATAGTGGTCTCAATTGAATGAATCTACCTCTTCACGGGACCATCGACATGCAGGCGGGACACTCGAATCCACATTGGGGACTCGACACCATACATGGCAAAATAATCCTCAGCTAAGGTACGCTAGGAACGGGGGTTTTCACTATTGAATTAGGGAAAAGTAAGTTTAGGCAAACGACCTAAGTGAGGATTTGGGGCTGGTGGTGGTAGATTTAGGGCTGGCGGTGGCGGTGGTGGTGGGCGAGGAAGTGGTGCCAATTGAGGAATCGAAATAGGATGAGGAGTGGTGTTCATACCATTGGCCGAGACATGGGACGGGGTCGCATGCAACCCGGCCACAAGATCTCGTGGCGAGGTTGGAACGTGGTGCCCACTGGGCCCATCGACGAATGCTCCGGCAGAGGCACGCTCGGTCGCCAATAAAGGTATACCGAGTACGCCAGGTCCGGCCGCAATGGGGTGAAGCAGGAACCCAGGAGGGTGAGTCGAGGAAGCCAGAGACACGTGATCCCAAGTCTTCGAGATCTTCTGGACCTCAAGCTTGAGATCGTCGATGAGAGCCTCAACCTCCGGGCACTAGGTGCCCAGATTCGTAGCCGCCGTCTCTAGGGTCATCACTCGGTCCGCTGTCTGGGCGAACATGTCATCGACGCTGATGGATTCGAGGGTGGAGAGGCGCATGTGGACGTTGTTGGACCGGTCGACGTAGACAGCCTCCAGGTTGGCGAGCTGCGCGTGGGCGTCTGCCTTAGCGAGCTCGGCGCGGTCCGATTCGAGGACGGCAGCCGTCGATTCGAGGGCGAAGATGCGCTGATCGACCTCTTTGGCGCGAGCGGAGTGAGCCCACTCGAGGTTGGAGAAGCACGACTCCCACTTCTAGTCTTGGGCATCAAACCAGCGGTTGATCTCGTCGAGCACGAGCTCGAGGTTTGGATCCATGGCGCCTCGGGCACGTTGAAGGCGGGTGAAGTGCGCGTGGGGCAAATCGGGATCCAGGACCAGATAGGCGTCATTCGAGTGCCTTTAAATCCGGCTTGATCCGCTTCTTTTTTCATTTAGAACAGTATTTTTTTTCACAGATTCATCTAGATTCTTCCAGATTCTTCCAAAATTCATCCAAACAAACGGGGCCTATCTGGTCCTGGATCCCGATTTACCAAATGATACAAGAGAGGTGGGGGGAGGAGCAACTTGGGGGAGAAGGAAGAACACAGGAGAGAAATCTTAGATGAGTGCTTCATAAAAGTTTAGAGTTTACAGTTTTCTGATAGGGAGAATTATCTATTTGGCACTGAAACAAATCAGTGTTCATATTTGGCACTTAAAATTTGAACTGTCTTATCTGGCATCTAGTTGAAATTTGCTTTCGTAAATAGCACTACCGTCCATTTAGGACAGGTGTCAAGTGACTGGCAAAATGACATGAATACCCTTGTTTGTAGCAGAAACACATGGTGTCAAATAGAGAAAGAATAAATAAACAGGTTGTCAAATAAAAAAAATCATAAAAGGTTATTTGAATTGGTGACATTACAATTTTTACGAATTGGAAATAAACCATTACTATTTAGGCTAATATAAACGTGGGAGATATGGATTTTAGAAGATGGTTGTTTGTTTGATGCAAAATGAAATATTCATATTTGCATGCACGTAATTGGCCTGCTGTTGGGTTCGTGCACGTGGTTGCTGGAGATCGAGGCGTTCCGTGCTTGCTGGCTCTAAACGGGCTTCGGCCTTTTGGTCTTGGCCCGTAGGAACACAACTGAGGGAGAGGGGTATGGAACACAGAAAGCGACAGAGCAAAGGCGTCGTCGTGCTCCTCATGCACACGTCCGCCATGGACGGCTGCTGGAGCTCGACTAGCGGGCGATTTCGACCACCATTCTCGAATCCAAGGGCATGGGGAGGGAGAGGAGAGATAGGAGATCACGTAGGCTAGCTACCTCGGCTGATTGCAGCGCGGGGAGGGAGATCGACGGGTGCTCTCCTCTCTATGCAAGGACAGAAGAGGAAGAAGATGAGCGAGGGGTGGGCAGCTACGGAGCTGAGTGGCTTGACGTGGTTGGCGTGGTGGAGGAGAGTCAATAGGCGAGAGGGGCGCCCCTTGTATAAGCAGCTGGAGGAGCAGGCTCAACACCACGGCATGGCCGCGACAGAGCTGGCACGCGGAGGACGGGTGACATGCATGGCACAGCTGACGCCCGTGCAACACGGCGTGGGGTAGTAGCTTTGCAGAGCTATGGAACAAGGCAAGCAGCGGGTGGCTATGGCGCTAAGACGACAACCGCGTTGACGGTGCAAAGGACACCGGGGCAGCGCGGCGTGCGTGGCGCAGCTATACCTTGCTGCTCTCCCTCTCGCTCGCGGTTATACCTTTGCTCGCCACGCCATGCGCTCGCCATTGCCACGCTCAAGCTCCGCCACCGCGTTAACAGCTGCTCGCACGGCCACAACCATCTCCAACGCCACCACCCCAGGCCGCGGCTTGTCGAGGAGCCTCGCTAGCTGGCTGCGGTGGCTAAGGCCACGCCCCCCTAGGCCACGGCTCGTCGAGCAGAGGCCGGGGGCGGCCTCCCGTGGGGTGTCCTGCTCGCGCTGCGGCCGTGGAGCTAGGGCAGCCTCGCGCAGTGGCACAACAGAGCCGAGGAAGAAGGGGAAGAAGGTCGCAGGATCTGGGATTCCAGGGGCTCGGCCAAATTTCAGTAACAGAGCGGTACATTAGCATAGGAAGAAAAAACCGACACGATCAAATCAGTCAACTAACAGATGACCAATGAAAATGGACGACAGTGCCATTTATAAAAGGAAATTTTAACTTGATGCCAAAAAGAAAATTTTAAATTTTCGAGTGCCAAATACAGAACACTGATTTGTTTCCAGCGCCAAATAGACAATTCTGAACCTTTCCCTTCCTCTCTCGATGCATATATATCACTCACACATGCCACTCAGGGCCAAGTACTGCTGGGTTGGGCCTTCTATTCCTCTTGGGCCGAGTCTCAGCCGGCTGCTCCAAGTGCTTTTGGTCATCGGCTTCAGCAGAGGCTTGCTCACTTGCAGGTTAGCCTGGGCATTCGGTTTTAACCGAGATTTCGGTTTGGTTTAATCGGTTTATAGAAAGTTCGGTTTTCAGAAAGTGACACCCGATCGGTTCTTCAGAGCAGCAAAAACCGACAACTTCGGTTTCGGTTTTTTAGTTCGGTTTTTGGTTTTAACCAAAAAAACCGATGAAAACAGAGGCAAGTGCTCGAACCTCCATCAGTCCATCTCCATGGTCGCATGACCGTCCAGCTCGCGCACCACGCCGCTCCCGCTCACCCCTGCTCGCGCCGGCACCACCGTCGTGCCATGGAGCAGCTACATGGTGTAGCCACCAAGCATGCCGCGCCCGCGCCCGTGCCATGGAGCAGCCGCCCGGCGCAGCCACCGAGCATGCCGCGCTCGCGCCCGCGCTACTGCAGCTCGCAGCAGTCACGTCATCGCGCCTCGCCTCGCCCGCTGCCGCTTCCCCATCCTACCAGGCCGCCTTCCAGTCGCGCCGCCGCCGTCGCTAGGTTTTAGGGTTCGGATAGGCAGTTGCAGAGTCAGGTGGGAGAGGGAGAGGACTCGGATGGGAGACGGGGTGACTGAGTGAGGGAGAGGCCAGAAGTAGAGGGGGTCGGACAAGAGAGGGAGACTGGGAGACGCCTCAGGTCTGCCCAGAGCAGTGCGTTGTGGGCCTTGGTGGGCTCTGGGTTGAAGCGGAGAATTACGGAAAAGCAGGCCTGCATAGCGGAGATTGATGCTAACTTCGGTTCGGTGGTTGTTCGGTTCCATTCGACTCAAAAACCGACACCGTAGCCGAAGACCGAAGTTCCCAGGATCCAAAACCGAAGCCGAACCGAAAAACCGAAAAAATCGACACTTCGGTTCGGTTCGGTGTTCGGTTTTTGGCTAAAATGTGCCCAGGCTGACTTGCAGGTTGCAGCAGACGGCGAGGGGGCAGGGCTGCTGACAAGTCTGAGTAGCTTTTTGGGTTCCGGCCGATCCTATGGGTAGCTGCGAGGCTTTGGTTTTGCAACAACCACATAAAAGAGTCCACCTTCTCTCCCAGGTTTGCTTGATCCCACATGGATTTTCATCTTTCCAGCATCTTGGTAATCCACATCAGCAACCTTTTCTGTCCCGTCCAAAGTCACTCTCTTAAAGCACATAGAGTTACGAAAATTCCAGAAACATCACAGTATATAGCCGAGCTAATAATGCTATAGAAATTTTTTATAATGGCTGGGGGGATTTTGAGGGCTCACGTCGCATGATCCGACGGCTAGGAAGGTAGAAAGCGACGAGAGGCGACGAGAGCGAGGCGATGGGAGGTGATAGGTGTGTATATGGTCGGTGGACCTATATGCGTCATATCGCCTCTCATCGTCTCCAAAATTGAGGGGATTATGACTCTAAATAAAGGAGTGGTAATTCCTTTTTCATAGTTCTTTTATTTAATGAAGGGTTAAAAGGTAAATTTATAATTGCAAAAAAAAAATATTTTGAGTAGTATATTTAGGGTGTATGATTCAATTAACTACTATAGTTAAATAAATATTTTCTTGAGTAGTATAGTTGGGATGAATAATTCAAGTAATATAGCTTATTTCTAGGGTTCATTCGAGCTCCAGCACTCTGACTGGATCCGGTCAATGGCGGCGCAGACGGGGTCCTCCCGGCCTGGATCCGGCCAAGGGCGGCGCGGAGGTGGGCTGTCTGGCCTCGATCCGGTCAACGACAGCGCGGCCTGGCCTCGATCCGGCCAAGGGCGGCGTGGAAGAGGCCGCCGGCCTCGATCTGGCGAACGGCGGTGTTGCTGCCCGAGCTCTGTCCAAGGGCGAAGCGGAGGAGGCCTCCCGCTTTTGATCGGGCCAAGCGCAGCATGGAGGAGGGCCGCCTGGCCTTGGGGTCATCGAGCTTGTCGCACTCCGCTGCGGTTACCTGCGACGACGTTGGATGGAGATGCCAGTGGAGGTCTCGGCAGTGGGCTTTGTTGTGGCCGTCCCATCCCCATCCCTGGCGCCGGCAACCAGATCATCCAGCTCGGCCATGTCAGGTCCATATTCTAGATGAATCCCCATCAGTTAATCGAATAGATGTCAGGTGAAAACATTTTCCTGCAATTTTGTGATTCAAAACATGAGATGTACACTCTTCTGATGAGGCTGCTTTGCAGGAATCAAGATTACTATGACAACAATGCTCTAAATTGTTCAGCAAATGAGGATGTTGAGACAAGAATTGGTACTAACATGGATAACATTGATGGGCCTTCAGTTTCAGAGTCTGATGTACTGAAGCAGGGGGCCATAGATGTGCCTGATCGTCAATATTGACCTGCCATCAGTTTCAAGTCATGGATATTCAAACACAACACAGCCAAATACTACAATGGAAGACCCACAAGGAAACACACAAGCACAACCCCTTTCCCATTTTTCTTGCTTACTGGTACGTTCCTCTTTTTTCTCAGAAGAGATAGGATCACTGACAGTTCTATTATGATGAAATAAGAGCTAGAAACTTAAATTTCACCTATATAAAACTTGTCCTTTTAATTTGTTGCCTTGATCACAGAAGCATTAAGTTGACCAATATTAAGCTTTGATGAAATTACAAATTTACCTGTTTAGCTTAGGTTGAGGAAGAAAATAATAGCGTGGATGTTCAGTAAGTCTTTGCTTGCTATTTCTATTGCATTAATTGCTTTAATGCTTTTGGGGTCTTTTTCTTTTAACAATCCCCAGGGGGTTCCATCCCAGCCATCACACCAGCTCTGGCAGCACAACTACTAAACCTTTAGATATCAATGAAGTAAGATTTTACTAATATCGCTACAGAATCATGCTTGCATACTTAGGTTATATGATTTTCATTTGTCCAAACAAACATTTAGAGGTCGTATTTCAGTAACAACCTGCACATTTCTGAGGTACAGGGAGAGAAATAAAAAAAAAACTTGACCTGCGGGGGGTAAGACGGCCCCCGGGCATAGCCTGGTAGAGAAGATCTCTCACGCAGATCAAGAAAACCCCCGAACCTCCGCCCCTGCACCCTTACACGGGACCGTTCACCATGTGAGCTGGTTCGGAACCACCGTGCTTTGAGTGAGTCGGATGAGGGGTTTTTTTTTTTTTACCCAGGCCACGTAAATCCGCTCCCACTGGGAGTCGAACCCGGGTCACTGGGGTGCCATCCGGCCGCTCTAGCCATTCGGCCAAGAGTCCGTTGACCAGGGAGAGAAATCAAGGCCTGTAGATATTTGTGCCATTGAGGTAAATCATTATTACCATAGAAATAAACAGCCTAGCAGCTCAGCCTCAGATACTGTGATTAGTATTTAGCTATCTCCATGATCTGTAGTGCAATGATCAAACTGCAGCTGGCATAACCATTCTGAAGTTATATAACTTATAATTGGGGTGACAAAGGATACGGGTTAATCAACAACTTGAACATGTTCAAGCAGGCAAATCATTTGGCTACCCAACAAAAATTGTTTCAACTGTTGAGACGATGGTCTATCACAACACTGATTACAATCTGTAAAACTTTAAAGGCAAAACACCGATCAATCACAAAATCTTTTAACAGAAAAATAACTCTGGCAATCAGGAGAATGCTAGTTCCTAGGTGAATCGCATTGGTCCCATTTCCCCCTCTATTCTTCCATTTGCTAGTGGGAAACACATACTCTGATGCTGCTTACTGAAAGAAAGTAACGCATTCTCAGGGTCAGGGAAATTAGGAGCTCCATGTAAAAGAGAAGGCTTACAGAGATGCTGCCGGTACCATTGCCAGTGGCGTCGAAGCTGCAGAACCGTAAGACGGACTCCGAAATCTCCACGGACTGGATCTGAACGAGAACGACGGCGGCGAGGCCAGGGCGACGGCGGGGATGGTGGGGCCGAGGGCAGGGCTGCCACCGCAGCGGGCGACGACGAGGGCAGGGTGGTGGTGTCGGCGGCGTGCGAGGAAAGAGGGCAGAGTGGCTAGGGTGAGCACGCGAGCGAGGTGCGTGCGACTGGGGCAGACCGGCGAGTTCGGCGTGGGGTCTGGGTGGAGGGTCGTGCGCAATGATCATATTGTCCCTGGATGAATAAAATCAATACAAATAGCTATTTTGCGGAGGCGATAGGAAGCGATTCCAACCATTATAAAAGATCTCAATGTTATAAAGAACAAACTTCTTATTAGCAAGCCATCTAATAGTAGCAATAAGTAACATCCTCCGAAAGATATGTTAAGCAGATCTGAGAGCTGTAGATGCAACGGGAAAAAACAAGTTGGCGTGCGGCAAGCTAATAGCGCCGGCGTCAAAAGCCCAAAAAGCTTGCTACTCTCGTAGTGTGTGCCAAAGGTTCTTGGCAATCCATTGAACTGCTATGTTTTTTGGCACGACTAGACTAACAGCTCCTTTGATTTTAAAGAGAGCTGGTACGTACTGCAAGCCAATCCTTTGGGGGCCTGAAAATGGATGGGGACGGGGACGTGGATATGTGTGCTGGACAGATGATAGCTGATGAGCACGGGCTGATTGGAGCCTTAGCACGGCTTGACAGATGACAGGCTAGGCGGCTATCGGTGTCATGTTCACGTACGTCAATAAGCCGGCCGCAACAAGAAAATCTGTCCGAGTGTTGCTCGAGCGTCAGTTGCGTCACGCTGGTTGAAAAAACCTGTCAGGGAAGGAGGACATATGCTCTTTCGTTCCCAATTTTGTTTGAAAATGAGGCGTAGCTGGTAGTAAGTGGTAATGCGTCGCAATCCGGCCCTAACCCCGGCCCACTCCAATCCTAAGATCCAATCCCAAATGAGTTGATTCAGTCCCAATCCGATCCGATCCGTTCTTTAAGGCCTCATCATCCTAATCCACCCCGATCCTTTTTGAACCAGGGGCCAATCCTACCCTACAATCCAAGGGCCTTCACAAACAAACAAGCACTGACACGTGCTAATTGGATTAGTACAGCCCATGGGCTCATGCATCGCATGTACAGGTAGTTAACTTTGCCAATTAATAGCTCAAACAAGCTAGCATGCCCGACAGCAGAAATGAGTTGATTTGCAGCGCCACCGTCACTGCTAAGCCCTACCTCCAACTCCAATCCAAGGGCCGGCTGTTTCCGACGATCCACGCGGCTACAAGGGGCTACCCGCGAGAATCCGATCCTTCTGACAGGAAATCCTATTCAATCCAATCCTTTCTTTGGAGAGCCTATATTAGGATCCATTAAAAAAAACCCAGGGGGGTCAGCCCTTAGATTCTGACGGCCCGTTACCAGGTCACATCTATCATTTTTTTACGAGGAATTTGAATATCTGATTTTTCAATACATTGAAGTATTGAAACCAATGTATAAAAATTAATTACTCTAATGCAATAACTCTTGACACTGTACCACTTAATGTCTCCTTTAGGAAAAGAAAAACATTACTAGGCAATACTGTAATTTGTTAGCAACACTGTGCCTAGTATGAAGAGACATTTTCTTTTATTTGCGAGAAAATAATGGTAAACTCTATGTATTGATATCTTATCGACATAAGGACAAAGGTTTCTTAGAAAATTTAGTGGCTAAAATTCTTTTTAAAATAAAAATTGCGGGGTTTAAAAAGAAGGGTTATTTTAACCAAAAATAATTCCACTAAAAAAGCAGAGATTTTGTGTGGCAATGGTGAATTTTCATGAGTTAAGAACGAGCTCCCACAAAATTAATCCTTTAAGTTCTTAACAGGTAAACCGTAGCCCTTCTTCTGCGTAGAAGGGAAAAAAATTTACCTCGTTGAACTATTTTTGTTGTCTGATTTTTTGGACGAATTTCAAGATATTTTACCATTACCCTTAAAACAGTTTATTACCTCACTGCCTAGGTTAAGCGGTTTCAATGCACTTTTATCAGTTTTTACAATAAAAAATATGGTAAATACCATATAAGGTTTTTACACCCTGAAAAATGTATATATGATTATTAAATTTCGAGAAAATCCTAGAGATGCATCGGGACATGACATAAACCAAATAAAACATTTAGAGCTCGTGAAAATATCTTTAGAAGGACGTACCCAACGCAGGGGTCTGGAGAAGGGTGTCAGTGGCAAGCCTTATCCTCGCCTGTGTAATACGAGGAGACCGCGACTCAAACCCAGGACCTTCCGGTCACAGGCGTTAAGACTCTACCACTTGCACCAGGCCCGCCCTTCAAAAATATCTCTAGAAGATTCTAAGAAAATAGATTTAGCTCTAGTGCAATGGGAAAATACCCAACAAATCAAGAAATTCCCAAAATATTCTAATTAATGCAGTTTCTGCCCGGACGTGATGGTTTCTTTTGCCCAACTAGCCATGGCCGCCCTAGGCCTCCAATCAGGCCAAAGGGCTTAGGTGCCCACAACATCGGCACCCCTGACAAAATCAAATTAGGTTCGAAGGCCTGCCATCAATGGGCTCGAGGCCACCCAAGACCAAACCATAAGTGAGGTATGAGCCTGATGGACCTACTAGCAGTGTATTGTCTAGCATAGAGTGGCCTGGACACTATAGCACATATCTGAGTCCAACTTTGAGACCAGTCGAGGTTTCCCCGTCGAGGGAGGCAAACGGCCATGGCTAGGAACCCTTCGATGGGGGACTAGGTTCCACTCGGATCTACTAGATATCAGCTCTAGGAGTACAACATTCGGCCATCTGAATGTCGTACGAATCACCCCCTTCAATCACCGACCTCCCAAGAGCGGTACGTCATGTATATTCACATCCCTATATATAGTGACCCTATGCATAACTGCATCTGGGAGTCGTTTTGTCAACCTAAGGACAAGATTTTTTTTTATGGTTGCCGATCAAGAATAGGCTAAGCGCCAATAATATTTTGAGAAGGAGGCACATGGATCTGGATTCATTTGAATCTGTTCTTTGTCAACAGTCAATTGAAGAGACAGCTGAACACCTCTTCTTTAGATGTCCTTTTGCAGTAGACCGCTGGAACTTGCTGAACCTGACAGTAAAGCAACAAGGGAGCTTGTCTGAAATCCTAGAGGGGTTTACCTTGCAACTGGGCCCCCCCTTCTTCATGAACCCAATAACTCTAATGGGTTGGAGAATTTGGACTGCTGGGAATGACATAATCTTCGAGGGTCTGCAACCAAACTTTCAGTCTAGTTGGAGAACTTTCCAAAAGGAGATTGCCCTGCTTTGTCTCAGGGCAAAAGAAAGATCAGCTCATTCGTTTGAATCAGGGGTGTCAAAATCTGTTGTAATTGCTCTTCTTAGCCTAATTTTTTTCTTCCTTTTTCGTTTCTTGAGCTCTCTGTCTTGTAACTGGTGAACTTTTGT